CTGCAGCGCTGGAGCCTTTCCCACCCCACGACCCGCAGAGATTTGGGGGTGCAGGGCCAGGACACCCCTCCCTCCGAGGAGCACAGCTGTCCCCCGGCGTGGAGCCATCCCCCTCTGCCGGCAGGCTGGGGAAGGACTGGGACAGCCCCCGAGGGACAGGGACACCAGCCCCGAGGTGAGGGAAGGGGAAAGCGACCATGTCAGCCCCTGTACGACGGCCATGTCAGCCCCTGTGCGACCAGGGCACAGCACCCTGCGGCCTCACCTCGCCCAGAAAGGACTGCAGTCCCCCCTTGGCAGAAAAGCAGACGACATTTTATTCCCAAAAAGAAGCACGTACAGTAGAGTTAGCACAAGGAGCTCAGCTCTTGACAGGAGTGGATGTGGCCTTCATCGTTTTCTTTAGGTGATGGTAGTTTGGTAAGATCTTCATCAGGAAATCCAGCTGCAGCGTCTGGGGCTGGGAACAGAGGTAAGGGAGGTCAGGCAACGGCCCCGCTGTCACAGCGAGGGTGGTCTGCAGAGGACGAGAGGGTGACAGCGTGTCACCCATGTGTCACACCCACCTGTGGCCGCTCGGTCTGGACACGGCGGAGGCAGTCGGCCCCGTAGATGACGGTGTTTTCAGGGATCACCTCGTAGGTGTTGATGTTGCAGCATGCCCCGATGATGCAGCCACTCGTCAGGATCACGTTCCTGCCGACAAATGCTGCCAGAGAGAGAGGAATCCCTGAGAGTCGTGCCCGGGGTGTGGTTAAACCCCGCAGCACCAAACACCAACACCACCAGCTGCTCAGCGCCAGAAGCCAGAGCTAGCCCAGCCCAGCTCCCACCAAGGCAGTATCAACACGTGGGTTCTGTGTGAAAATCACAGCTTTGTGACAAGCTGCGGTTTGGCCTCAGCTACAGCAAGACAACCCCATGTGAGCCTCCGCTGTTCCCAACATCTACAAGAGCAAGATAAGCCAAGACGTACCTTTGGATTCGATGACGTTGTTATCTCCCACCTTCATTGCTTGGGAATCTACAGATCCTTGTTAAAGAAAACTAACGTGTTTGGCTTTTATTTCAAAAGGTAAAACCCAATGCTGTTTTCAAAACAGCACCCTGCACCTTAAATAGCCCTGGGCTGTTTAAACCCCAAGAGAGCCCACACATGCTTCCCCTTGTACCGACTCAAGAGGGTGGTGTATCAGAGGGTCTGTCTCACTGCACAGCAAGGATACAACACCCAACTTCAAAAACATTGTTGGTGCCAATGACCATTGGTTTGGGCTCCACCTCTTCAGTTTCTGGCGTAATATTTTCTGGATACCTACAAAGACAGAAGAAGGTATTTCAAGTCTTGAGATCACAAAGACACTGTCCTGTTTGGCAGCTCAATTTTGTGGGAACCACATATATCCCATTCAATCCAGCCAGACTGTCAGGGTTGCAAGACTGCTTGCTCTTGCACAGAGTCTCTCACTCTCAGGACAACAATGCTTCTCCTCTGTCAGCAGGAGAAGGATTCACAGAGGGAGCACTTCTTCCCCAGCCACGGTGCCACACGCACGGGCAAGCGCACAGCAGTTGGTTTTGCTGCGCCAGGAGGGTTAGCGGTGTTGACTGCCCTAAAATGAGATGCTGGGCTGGGAAACGACCCCCCCTTGGAGAGCCCTGTGCGCGCCGTGCAGCTTCTTACTGACCCATTTATGATGAGGGCCTGCTCCTCGATCAGGTTACCCTCCCCGATGACGATGGGCCCGGCTTCGGCGATGATCCTGGCCTTGGGGTGGACCACGGTCCTGGGCCCTGCCGAGAGCAACAGCCCCGCGTCACCCCACGGCCGGCCCCGATGCCCACAGCAGCACTCCCGGGTGGGCGAGGCGGGTCTTACCGATGGTCACGTCCCCGCGGATCTCGCTCTCCACGCACACCACGGCCCCCGGCGCGATCTTCACGCTGCGGGAATGGATGGAGGTCTGTGAGGGGAACGGCCGGGGCGCCCGCGCC